TTGGGGTTTATTTGTCATCTAATTTAAACATTCTGTATAATAAAAAACTGCTTCTCTAGCAATGCAAAAATAAAGAAAGGCAACACAATCTCATAAGTTTTGGATGTTATGTGGAGCATGTTGCCTCATTAGAAGGTCCTGGGTTTGAATCCACGTTCTGGCCGTTACCTTTCTGTGTGGGGGTTGCATATTCTTTCCAGGTACTCGAGCTTCCTCACACACATGCAGTTAGTGTGAGCAAGTTAATTAGTGATTCTAAATCACCCGTAGGTGTGAATGGGAGCGTGAATGGTTGTCTCTCTCTGTGTAAGCCCTGCGACAGACTGGCAACCTAGCCAGGGTGTACCCTGCCTCATGCCTTATGGTAGCTGGGATAGGCTCCAGCCCTCCTGTGAGCCTAAATCGGATAAACAGAATAGAATAGGCAAGCAATGTTGTTGAACATATTGAGTAATAACTTACAGTACAAGATGTTTTTTAAAAAAAAAAAGACAGTCATTGTCGCAACAAATGCCCCTAGAGCTACTTGGCAGTTTCTCTAATTTAAGGAGATGAGATCAGACGTTAGGATTGCAGAAGTGTCGTTATAAAAAGGTGTCACTACAAAGCGTGCTCACTAAAAAAGTCCTAAGACCAAGTTTAAAGTTTAACATGACTTTATTTGAAGGAAAAGTGGGTCTGTACACGGTGGACGGATCAGCATACATTCAAAATTGTGTCCAGATTTTATTTAGGAGTATATGAGGAGAACCATACAGAAGTAAATGACCCCCCCACCCCCACCCCCCCAAAAAACAAAACCCGCATGTTTTTGAATGATCAAGTCAAGACTAAATTCTGACCCCTTAGCCCAACTAAAATACTATTGCCGGACCTGAAGACAGCTGCTCTATTAAGGCATTGCAGAAATAGTGAATTGAAACAGCTCTGCGAAAATGAACCTTCCTAATTTAATCATCATCAGTGTGCAATTCTCATAAGCAGCTACAGGAAATGGAGGTTGTTGCCGCTTTCTATGAGTTATATTGGCGAGAGTTCACTCATGTGATTGTTTTTTAACCTGCGTTGTGTGTTAGTTCAGTCAGATTGAACGCTGCAAATATTTTAAAAAGAATGTGCTCTCAAGTTTTTCTTGCAATTGTGTGATATATAATTCTAGTAACTGCAAACAACCAATAAGGGCCTGCTTATGAAGACTGACTATGAAGACTTAGCCGAGTGACAGGCAATTAGACTGACATGAAAAATAGCTGTCTTCCTGTTATTCATAGCAGAGTGACTTGCGCAACAGCACAAAGTTTCAAAAGATCTGTCACAAGGGATTTGGACCGAACACCATTTCCTGTGTTTGAGTAGATGAGCTGGTAAAAAGAGTGACGTCACACACAAAATAAGTGCCGGAACAAAACAATCTGTATACCAATGTGGAAACAGAGTCACTTTTGATGGGTCTGCATACAAAAGTGAAAGCACAAGCAGGCACAACGAACTGTCATTTATAGAGTAGTGAAGTGAGAAAGGAAGGGCCTACTGCATGTGGAAGGGTGTGTGTGGGTTTGCCTGTGTGTGCGTGATAGTTATGGTGTTGATTGGTACACCATGTGCTCGCGCTACCATCCCTGGAGGAGCTGTCATAAGCTGTTGAACGATTGATGGCTCTCTCAGAGGGAAAACACAGTGTCCTGTTATTGCCAAGAGGATCAGTGTTAACACTTTTATATGGCACCCCTGAGCTCTGTTCACTCATGAACTGGTATATGTCAAACATGCACAAACAAATGCATGCAGGCAGTCACGCCAACTTTGTATATGTTAGTAGTTCTCAGGGGGAGAAGCTGGTGTGACGGATCAGGAGAAGGAATTAAAAAAAAAGAAGTCAAAGAATATTGCACCATTTTTTAAACTAAAATTAAACTTGTTCCTTTTTCATTTTTAATGACAGAAAAAGGTTTTTGGAGGAATATGCTTTTTTTTTCTCTCTCTAGCAGGGCATACCAGAAAAACTTTGAGAGTCTGTGGTGAAACACGATTGTTTCTCATGGAGAATGGGGAATGGTAGACTTTGCACATTTAGTTTGAGAAAGATGTGTATAATCTTCATGGCCAGTTAAAATATTGTCTTTTAAAATTATTTATTTCATTTTTAACACCTAAAAATGTGTAATCTTCTGACATAATAATTGTGGATTTTATTGTAAAATCATACACAGGGTTGTTAAAAGGTGATCTTCTTTGACAAACTATGAACAGTAAAATATGTAACATTTGGAGCAATCACTCTATTTCATGGTCTGGTTTTACTAGTTTTATTAGTAATCCATTGCGTTCGAGCTGCAACACTTCTGTGAGGGGTTTTTAAGCAGGATTTGTGACATTTACCTACATTTTTTTTGTGTGTATTTTTGTTGCTTTTCAAACATCTGTAGCAACTGTCAAATACAAAATTTTATATGTGATTATCCAAAACCAGGACCTTCTGAAAACTCTAAACAGTATATGTTACAAAAATTTGCAGAACATAACCAACAGAAAAAGATCTGTGTTTATTGTGTCCAATATATAACTTTTAAATTGATTTTTTTTATTTACTGAAATAAAAGTGTGCGATAATTTTAGATGTAGTTGGGGTTGGTACACATGAGCGATGAATTAAACTTTCTAGGGGATGCTGATTGTATTTAAGCAGTTATTTACATCTAAGTTCAAATGATATAATCTTCAGCATCTGTCTTTTTTAAATTGGCTAATAACTGGTCATCTGCTTCCTTATCACATCCATCCAGAGTCCCACAGTTTGAATGCCTCTCCACTGGGACATTATGACGTCAAAGACCCACCCACACCCACACACACACATTGGACCAAGTCCCCTGAGGTTGCTGCCAGCACAATGTCATTATCATCCATCGGACTGCAGTGGCCACTGCCCATTGAGTCTCGCTGACGTTCCTTTTGTGCTCAGTAATTCTTCTCACAGAAGCCCACAACTCCACCCCCAACCCCCACCCGTACACCCGTCCTCCCGCCTGTCTACTGCGGCCCATCTGTAATCCCATCCCCCCGCCCCGCACCCCCATATCCGCCCCGTCTCGGCCTGCACTTCTCCAAAACAAACCAGCTGTCTTGGCCGGTCGTGTCCCTGGGGGCGTAAACAGGTGTCGAGAGGGCCGCGGGGCCTCCGCGTGTGACACACGGCCACACGCTCCTCCGGCCTTCTCCTCCAACCTGCCAACCCACCACAGAGCGAGAGAGTGGTGTGTTTTACACTTTTGTGGACTTGATTGTTACTACAGACAAGGAGCTGTTGATATCTGGGACTGCACATAAAACCTAATCTCTACAGGTCAAAGCAGCTGCTCACACTAAGTGCTTGTGATAGTTTCCTCACAGTCATTGATCTGAGGAGTCCTTTGTTTATTTTTTTTAGAAAATCTTTGCTCAAGGGTGAGAATTCATTTAACAAAGATGTCATGTATGAAGAAACCTTGACATGCCTGTAGCAGATATAAAAATACACACTGCTGTGCAACCAAAATAGATGAAAGGAGACGGGTATGTCCTGCTGAGCTTAAAGCCAGCTGTATTTTTAGCACAAACTTCACACTGTGCATAGGAGTGGAGGAGGGGGCTTGCTGGCTGAATGCAGGTCAATGCGCCTGTACACACATACCAAAATGGTAACAGCAGGTCAATGGCACTATAGTTGTATAATTCTGAACAGTCAGTGGAGGCAGTGAGCAAATGTTGGCACCTCACTACCATCACAATCCTCATATATGTGTCCACTGTGGGCGATTTGAATTCCAGCTGTGTAAGTTCTTCTTCTGTGTGACTATAGAAAATTTGTAAACTGAATCCAAGCAAGTGCACCGGCTTCTTTGTGCAGAGCGTTCACATTTTACGACTCTTTCAAGTGCCTGCTAATAAGATACCCGACTTTGGAAACTGTGCTTGAAAGCAGTAAAGTCTTTCTTTTGAAGCTGCAGGAACAAAGGCAGCTTCACACCCTAAACAGTCCCGCTATCACTCTCTCTGCGGTGAGCTCAGCGGCACTGCACGGCCCATTGTACATCTGCCACTTGACTCCTTGACACCGAAACAGGGAGTGTGTGTGAAAGGTGGTGTGGTGGGGGTGTTTAGGCCTACATGTGCATGTGTCAAGCTGTACTTGTGCTTTAGTGGAGCTGAGCCAAGCTGCAAAGCCAAACTGCCACCTCGTTGATTCCTGTGTTCACGTGTAAAACAAGCCGAGGCAAGTTAGTGGCTCATCTCCTGCATTCATGTACGATTCCTATCACCTTCCATCTTTACAGCAGCTCCAGAGTTATTCACCCATCTGGAGACAAAACAAGCCAGTAGCAATTACTGGAAACCCTTTGCGCTAGAGATGCTGAATGTCAAACCTCAAGCCTTTATTCAACAAAAACACAGGCACGGCTGTATTCTTATGCAACCTTGGTTATGTGGCTGACAGCCAGGCAATTAAGCATATGTGGATTTCTAAAAGTAAAATGGAAAAGAAGCATAGAGTATGTTTTCCAGCTGAAGTTGGAAACCTACACTTATTTTTAAAAAGAACAGCTCTTTTGATTATAATTATGTCTCACAGTCTAAACTGAAACACAACAGAGCCAACGTTTTTTTATTTTATTTAGACAGCTCTGTCCTATACAGCCTACTGAAACAAAAGAAAAACAGAAGGAAAACAAGGACCTAATTTCATCAGAAATTTTGAAGTGAAGTCACATGCAAAAGAACAAAAACTGCCCAGTGTTACATAACTAAATCAAGTGATCTGTTGTGACTGCTTATTTAGACACAGCCACATGGAGGTTTATCAGCAATAACAGGGAAAAGGATGGAGATTGCGCAATATCAGCGAAACACATTTGGCCAGCTGCTCAGACTGGCCTTTCATGGGTCTGCTGTGCAGTCTAAAGTCTGAATTGAGACTCTCAGCAGCAGCTCATGCATTTGCATTTGATGCAGACTCTTAGCAGACTTCAGTCGGAGGATCCAGCACTCGCGGATGACTCTGAACTTAACCAAAAACTTTGCTCGTGGAAGGCTAGAGCATTCAGAGACGTAAAAAGCCTATCACGACGCTTTCGTTTCTGCCTTTGAGCTAGCGACGCAGTTTTGGGTGTGAGTCAAGTGAGGTGTATTTAGACTAGCTCTGGCCTGAAAGAGTGCAGACGGAACTAGGTTTTCTGGCGGAGTAGCACTAAATCCACAGCTCAACAGACTACCGGTGCACAGTTCACCGCTGAGCTCGAGACAGACGGAGCGAGTCCGCTAAAAGTGGTCGGTGTGATTCCGAGATGTGTTTTGTGTGACTTTAAAAAAAACAACAACAGCAGCAGTTTGTCTTTACTCCCGTCGTCTCCACTACTCGGAGCGCTTTAGGGACACTTGTTCCTCCGTGTTTTTTCCAAACTGACGGACTTCTCGACACTGGACTGACTTCAGCTGAACTCAAAAGATGTCAATTTTGCCTTTCACTCCCCCCATTGTCAAACGACTTTTGGGCTGGAAGAAGGGAGAGCAGAACGGCCAGGAGGAGAAGTGGTGTGAAAAAGCGGTGAAGAGCCTGGTGAAGAAGCTGAAGAAGACGGGACAACTGGACGAACTGGAGAAAGCCATCACCACCCAGAATATCAACACGAAATGCATCACTATACCGCGGTAAGGAGAGTTTGAGCGTTGACGTTGACCGTGAAATCAGCATCCTAGCTAGCTGTACACTTAGTAGTTCCCCCCGGGGGTTATTACTTCAGCTGATTTTATTACAGCTTTGTTACAGAAAACTCAAAAAGGTTTCCTCCCTGGTTTCTGTCATCCTCGGCGCCTTGCACATGTATGGCATCATTGCTCGACTTGAGAAGTTGACATTTCCACTTCCTTTCTGGCGTCAATATTTCAAACTGTTGATTTCCTTTACGTGTTTATTGTGCAGCAACATGGTGGCTAAGGTGCTGCTTAACGAGCTAGCGTTGGACCATGAGCAGAGCTAGCAGATCATGTCTGAAACATCTCGGCGACGAGCTGCTGGGGCATCATGCTGTCATCGTGTGCACACTTCACTTTAAGCGAGCTGCCTTCAGCACTTTGTTATTATCACATCAGCATTCAGCTGAGGGTGTTTTGCTGAGAATAAAAAGGGTACAGTCCATGCATTAACTAGCCAGCAGAGCACATGCAGTGCAAAAGCATTAATGGAGTCCAAGTTATATAACTTGGCCTTAATCTGGGACGCTTTCTAGCGTTCTTACTGCGTAGGCGAGCCCGTGGAGCTGGCTTCTTCTTGCTCTCAGCCTGCACAGCCATTTGTCCATCAACACATTATTTAGAACAAATAACCAACACTGGCATTTGTCAGCAAATCACAGCTGGTAGCTTCTGTGAGTCACTTCTCTCCTGAGCGGTCATTCTCCTCCCGATGAGAAGCTGTGCTTGTAAAAGCCTCTGAGGTGCACAATGTAAACACAAATCATGGATTTTACCCCTGCCACTCTTTAAAATGTATGTGTGGTATTACTGCAGTGTTGATTTTTCGAGTAACTCTCATTTGCCAGTTGTTTTAGTACACCTTAATACACCCAATGAGCAGAGATAAACTGATTAGTCAACTTGAAAGTTCTTGTCCGTTACATGGATAATCAATTTGAGTCATTTTGCATACTCACATGTGTCAGCTTACATGATGTGGTTTTTAAGGGGCATCCCTTTGAGATAAGATACTTGGCATATAATTAACACCTGTGTCAGTAATAAAAAGCTTTGTCAGTATCTACAGATGGAGAATGCCTCCAGTCTGTTGTGCAGAAGAAGCGAGTGGTCTGCAGCCTCCAAAATAGCTATAAAGAGCCTGTTACACGTCCCTGTAACAGTTCTAAAAACTGCACATGATACATTTTGCTCTGGAGATGTCATATCAAATTGAATTAGTTTTAACCAGGTCCAACTGCAGCGAAAGAAAATGGATGGATGGACAGGTGGAACCTGTATTAAAAGTACAGTGTGTGCTCACATGTATTTTACTTCTTCTGCTTTCTGCACTACAACTACAACTAAACTCTCCAGACTTTTGCTTGCATCCGCAAAATCTCACTAGTGTTTGTGGGCTATTCAGATTTAATAGCATACTGTCAGATGAAAATTGAGCCTCAGTGGGGCACTCCCACATTCTTCATTGCCACAAGTGTGCATATCACGGCTTGCACAGGCCTGGGCCAGCGTTCAGAATTAAGCCTACCCAGAAAGTTAAATAATGTTTGTCATGATCCAGGTTTCATATTTCCCACCACTAATGCAGAAGGGAAGAGGTGGAGTGCATTAAGATGACCCCAGATCAGAGCTGGCTGTCAGTGTTGGCTAACAGAGTCCCTGGAGAGCTGCTGTTTCTATTAATTCCCCCACGTTTTGGCTTGCTGACAGCAGCTGCTTGCATGTTCAGGCCTGTCCACAGGGAGGTCAGCTTCTATCTCTCTGACACATGAACTCCCTGTTCAAGCTCATTGCTACCCGTCTTAATGGTGGTTTGCAGTGATGCTGAGTCGAAGGAAGCGGGCTCTGTGTATATTGATTGAATCAATAGTTGTATATGGTGGGGGAATAGCAGGAAAGTTATATCACATCTCAGTGGTGTACATTGAGATAGAGTTATGAGGAAAGAAAGGATCAGATCTCAGCGGGCCAAGTGACAGAATATTATATTGAAATCTCAAGGCTATGTTTTTTTCCTGTCGTGTCAAGCACACTTATTTCTTTTTGTGTATGTGAGTTTGGTCTGTCAGATGAATCTTCAAATCAGCTGGGGAGCTTTGGGAAAGACTAGTTGTTTTTGAATGGCTGCAGTCTGCTAGATAACACTTACAACAATTACAGGACTATCTGTGGAAACTGTATAACAGCTTGGTGAGTTTGGTGGTTAAGTTATTTTTGGGTTGGAGGTCATTGACGTGGTCAGTGGGGCTGCATGTAGGTGTAGGTGTGCCTTTATCTTATGAAAAAAACATTAGTCATGTTCCCAGTTGAGGTCAAAACACAGTATTGCAGGCTTTGACTGTTACTCAGAAAGTGCCATTGCTCTACTTGCCTTTTAGTGGTTTTTGACAATGAGCAGTTTTACTCATTTAAGACGTAAGTAAAAGTTTAAACCTCTGTCCAAGTTCAAGCTTGACTCATTCAGCAACGAGCAGCTGTGGTACTGACCTACCCTCTTCTTTTCTCCATTGGCCCTATTAAAGTCCTGTCTTCCTGTGAGCTGTAAACTTGGGTTAGCCGAAAACACTAGTGTGTAAAGTGCGTCAAGCCACTATGAGTTTCTGATGCATGAGGGATGGATGTGTAGTGTGACAGCCTGCTGTGTGTTTGAGTGTGACAAGATGACTAACAGATGTGTGTCCTGTTGTTTACCAAGACCTGTATCTATAAACAGGAGCCAAGTTGTGTTTCCGTTATACCAGGGTAAACTGGGAGCAGAGTTAAATATAGTTACAAAGTCAGTATGGGGAGGAGGTCAGGTTGGTTGGATAGGTCAACAAAGCCTCAGGCTTTGAGACCAAACATGTACGTATGCTTCCTGTTTCCTAAGCGTAGTAAATGTAGTTTTTTTTTTCCTGAGCTATGGCCATGATTGTTTCCTAACGTCAACCAAGGTTACGTAGGCCTTTTAGCCTTAAGGAAGTAGTTACTTTACCCAGACCACATTTTTAAAGCAAACTATTGCATTTCACATTTTAACCTAAACCCCTGACCTTTTGCCAACCCTAACCAGGTCACGTTTTTTTCTCTCAAACTCCAACCATAGTGGTGTCCATTCTTGAGTGGTTTTCTGTTCAGAGAAGTGACTTGTTTTGTTACTGTTTTGGGAGACACTACCACATTTCACCCCCCCAAATGAAAAAACTTTGTCAACTATTGCCATACAGTCAAACCTAATGTAAACATTTAAACTTAAAGTTTTTGAGGGTGAATTTTAGGTGCAGGTAATTGGGAGGCAGTGGTTGAGCAAGTCAAACAGTTGCAAACAGTGTAACAAAAAAATGCCATATTGATTAAAACCAATATAATCTCTCCCTGTACCTCCTTTAGAGATATATCTATAGAAGGTATAAAAAAGGACATTGCTACCATAAGGTCACCTATTGGTTGCTTTAAACCCTTTTTGAAGCCTTTTGAGTGTTTCCTTCATTGCTATCTTGGTTGCAAAAAAACCAAACCAAAACAAAACAAAACAGATGTGATGAGGACAGGGGGTCTAACTATGGTACTACACACTCACAGGCTAATGCTTTATGACTGACAAGTCGTGCTACTTTGCATAAATCATGGTGAAGTATAGAAAACTCTGTTCTTGTCATCTATGACTGGGAATCCATTCATAAACTAGAGAACAGTCCAATGTATACAATTCCATACCCTAAACTAGCTGTTACTTTGAAATTTATTATTACTACAGCGTCTTTTTTTATTTGTTTGTTTGTGGTTTTTATGGATTGCATAGATTAGTCTACAAGCAAACAGTTGACCTTCACCACACACCACTTTTGCTGTTGGGAATAGGAGGATCTCTGAGACAGACCTTAGAGATGGACTGTCTTCTGTAAATACTAATTTGTGACTGTCAGTTAGGGCAGCCACTAATAACTGTTGCCGTGTTGATCAATCTGTTAATGTTTTGGTTACGCAAGTAATTAAGATGATTTATAAAATGATAGAAATAACAAAAATACACTTTGTTTGTGCAGTCTGAGTTGACACTTTCAGATAGGTTTTGTTTAGAAGCGTATAGCATACAGATTATAATAATATAAATGAAATTAAGACAAAAAGTGTTGGTTTTTGGGAAGCTGGAATCAGATATCGGCTTGAAGTTTTTTTAAATGACCAATTATACAAGTTGTCATTAGAGGAATCAGTAGTTCCTGTATGTACAGTATAATGTGTGAACTAATCACAAACAAAACTTGTAGAAGATACAGTGCTGCTTTTGACCTGATTGTACTTTGTGTATGATAGTTGTTGTGACAATAGGTAGACAACATCACACTAACTCAATCTGTTGTCTAGTTGTTTGTAATAATTATGACACAATCATGCACCTGTGCACATAGGGTCTGTCATGTTTGAACAGCGGTAACGTTTCAATGACAAAACTTAATGGGAGTCAAATAATCCTTAGAAAGACACACTCATCAAAGTTGCATCTTCTGTGTGTGTGCTTAAAAAATATATTTGGGGTTAATGAGTTCCAACATTTGCACACTGGCATCAAAAAGACATTGAGACAGTTTTCATTGTCTTAATATCATGTGTGATATGTGTACTTTGGACAGTGTGAGTTTTATATTCACAGAGCCTGGGGAAGTGGATTCCTCACCTTTTATCTTAATTTTCTCCGACTTTGTGCAAGGGGTGGTGAGAGGGTTTGTCTTATGTACACATATCTCTCCTGGCACTAAGGTTACAGTCTGATTCACACTGCATGTTGGGGCAGGAGGGAGTGTAGGATCTTCAAGTTCAGAAGTAAAAGATGGGATAAAATGAGAAAGACAGGGACTGGACCAAGAGTGAGAAGGACTGCATCCACACTGTTGTTTCTTTATACATCACTGTTGAAAGTACTTCAACAATACAGTTCTTGATTAAGGAAATTCCTTTTGTTGACTTTTGTCAGACCG